CCAGACGCTGCCAAGTTCTTCACAACCAGGTGCCTGCTGGGACCTCCTAGAGGCTTGTCTCCTGTTGTGTTCTACCTAAGGTGGACACTACAGGTGCCACACCCTCCCATCTCAGGAGCTCAGAGGCCAATGGACTTGTGCTGAATGGGAACTATTCATGAATGGGAGCTATTCATGATGCCACAAGAGTTTCAATGTTATTTTGACGTGTGTGACTACCTCTCATCTTTTCTGTGTCATTAGATCCTTTGCTGAAGAATCTGTCCCAGGAAATCATAGAATTGCTCAGAAAGCTGGTTGGGCTCGAGAGCTTCTCACTGGCCTTTGCCTCTGTACAGAAACAGGCTAGTGAGAAGAGGGCTCTCCGGAAGAAGAGGAAGGCTCTAGAGGTGAGTCTGCTGCTGTGACTGTGGCTGGTCCACCTGCGTCTAAGTGCTCTAACTAGAAGTGTGCTGTGCTACTGTTCCCAGGAGGGGGTGAGGGCTGGAGAGGAGAAGGATTTTCATTAATGACAGACAGCTTCTGTATTTACTTTGGATTCTTTTAACGTGTACCTTAAAAGTAACGAAAGATCTCTGCTTTCTCTTCAAGTTTGTAACCAATCCTGATGTTGCTGCCAAGAAAAAGTTGAAGAAACATAAAAATAAAAGTGAAGCAAAGAAAAGAAAGATAGAGTTCCTACGCCCAGGCTATAAGGCCAAGAGACAAAAATCCCACAGCCTGAGAGACTTAGCAATAGTGGAGTAAGGTGTCCCTGTGTGCATAGCAGTAACTCACACTGGCTCAACTGTGGTGAAAACCTGAACTAGCTTTATTCTACTGGACTGAATTCCCAGCAGATTTTATTTTCTAAGTTAAACTTTGGAAGGTAGGTGTGGCTTCACACCAGTAATCATTGCACTTGGAAGGCTAAGGCAGGAGAATTACCGAAAGTTTGAGGCCCGCCTGGACTTCATAGTGAATTTCAGGCCAGCTGGACTAATGAGAACAGATGTCAACCAAAAGAAAATGAGTTAAACTTTGGTATAGGTTTATAATGTATATTTTAATGTGATCATACTTGTATTTTTTAAATTAAAATGTTTAATATACTACTCCTGTATCTTCATTGTCTAAAAAGTATACAGTACTAAATGACCTGGTTTAAAGCTTAGCTTTTTCACAAAAAGATCATTAAAATAGGGGGAAGCCTGGTGAGGTTGCGCATACCTTTAATCCTAGCACTCAGGAGGACATAGAGAGACCCTGCCTCAAATGTGTGTGTATCTATGCTTATGCACATATGTATGCAAAAGGTAGAATTTAGGAATAAGTAAAACAAAGCTTTTGTAATATGTGAATTCATCAGAAGGCATTGAGAAATCTGTGCAAACAAAGATATAGCCATGCTGATGGATTTAGTATTATTATTTTCCTAAGTTGATCCCATTGGTTGACTACATTTGTGAGCAAAACCCAAAAAAAATTTGTGTTAAGCTAATTAAAGCCAATTCTAAAATTTACATGGAAGACAAGACAGTGAACCAACAAAGCAAGATGCTTTTAGAAAAGGATGAAATAAAGGCTTGTCAGACATTAAAGTGCTGTCAGTAGCAGAACATGAGAATTTTCACCATAGGGATACAGGCTTTCCTTCCGAATGGCTCATGGGTTAAGAGCAGTTGCAGCTCTTCCCAAAGGACTTAAGTTCAGTTCCCAGCAACCATGTCACACAGCACACAGCTGTGTAACTCCAACTCCAGGGCATCCGATGCCCTATTCCAGTCCAGGAGGACTCCTACACTAAGATGGCATACACACACACAAAAATAAATAAATATTTTTTTGCTGGCAGTAGTGGCGCACACAAGTAATCAGGAAGCAGAGACAGGGAGACCTCTGAGTTCAAGGCCAGCCTGGTATGCAGAGTGAGTTCCAGGACAGCCAGGGCTACACAGAGAAAACCTGTCTCCTGAAGAGGGTCACTCTGGGATATGGCATATTCCATATGCCACTGTTAAAGGGCTTGTTTCCAGACTTCGTAATGAATAAAGCATGTAGAAAAAGTCCCAAAAGAAATAGGAATGCACAGAAAACGCAGAAATGATCTTTAACATTAACTGTTAGCTGCTAGTGGCTGTACCAGCTCCTTAGAACTGACATCATGCTGTTTGGTAATCATTGCCTTTAGCCTCGCCGCCACCACCAACTGCACCCTGGCTATGAGTTCTTACACCCTGTTACTCCCCATACTTTGCTTATGTGAAAATACCTCAATTTAAATCAAGCAAACTAACAAAAATTTGTATATGCTTTCACTGAAACTTTACCAGTTGATTCTAAGGTTGAAGATACCTAAGTCTATAGTGACTCACACATTTAAAGGAAACTGTTTTTAGTTGTTCAGCCATGTTATCATTTACTCACCACACTCAACATTGAAGCAATATTCTTCAGTGCCCAGTATATTTGTGGAACAGAAAACCCATCCTATTTATTTAAGTACTTGGCATACATCTTAATTCTGATACTATCTCTGACATTCAAAATTGTTCCTATTTCACAGATGCAAGACTCAGCAGATAACCTAAGGAGATGTGGAATGTAGGTGGTAGAACCAAGATTCAAAACAGTCCTCTAGCTGGGCTGTGGTGGTGCACACCTTTAATCCCAGCACTCGGGAGGCAGAGGCAGGGGATCTCTGTGAGTTCAAAACCAGCCTGGTCTACAAGAGCTAGTTCCAGGACAGGCTCCAAAGCTACACAGGGAAACCTGTGTGTCTGGACAAAACAAAAACCACCAGTCCCCTTACCAAGCTTACACACACACACACACACACTCTCTCTCTCTAGTACTCAGTTTTACTTCGTAAACATAAACATTGGAACTCAGGATTTATTCTAGCCTGTGTGTGGTTAATCAGCCAAATCATGATCAGATTCAGGTGGCAGCATATGCCTGCCACACCCTATTTTCCCAGTGTTTCAGAATCATGAGGGAGTACCTATAGCACCTTGAGAATAAATCTAGTAATTCAGTGTAAATAAATTTACTCTTTTATCATTTTCTAGCTATGTGCCATTGACCAGAAGGAAACTTACAAGTTATGTATTGCCATGCCTCTTGTGTACCTGACCAATAGGTATCTTATTTCAACCTTAGACTTTGTTGCATGGTATGTGCTAGGGTGTGAGGGATGCCCTTGTCTGTGTGCAGAGGTTAAGGTCAGAGGTCGACTTGAGTTTCATCTCCTAGCACTTGTTTTCGGAGATAAAGGTCTCAGAGCTAGACTTTGCCATTTTACGAGACTGGCCCCCACCACTGAGGTTACAGACATGCCTGGCTTTTTACTTGCTTGCTGGATATCAAATGGTGACCCTCAGGCTTGCAGAGCAAACAGTTAACCCACTGAGCCACCTCCCCAACCTCAAGTATGAATATATTCTGATGGAAGGGAATGTCCACATATATGGCTACTAGAATTCATCCTTGCCCATCAAAAGTTTTGTTGTATTGGGAATAACTGTGCCTGGGGGAAAAGGGTTCCTAAAAAAACTTTAAAGAAATCGAACTAAATAGAAGCAAACATAAAAGATTATGCGTCCCAAGCTGGCCATAACAATAAGGAGCCACAATTTCAGCACTATAGGAAGCCAGACATGAGGATCACTGGGAGTTTGAGGCCAGCCTGGGCTAGCTCCAAAAATAAAAATTCCTCAGGGGCAAAGTGCATTCCTTCACTTTCCCCAACAAAATAACCATATATGGGAGGGAAGGCTAGAGTCTTCTCTACCAGTGTCTAATTTCTAAATGCCAGTCATCTGTATTTGAAAGAACTCCCCAGTGTTAGTAATACTATGGCCATATTATACTTACTGTCACACTGTTTAAGTGTGTGGTAGATTATTAGGCTGGGAAAGTTCCTCTGAAGACAATTTTAAGCCTGCAGTATGCCAAATCTTTAAAACTGAAATATTTAATTTTTGCTCTAGAACCAGTAAAATTCTTATTTTTAACCAATTTTATACTGAAAAAAGTAAATGAATTGAAGACAGTAAAGACATCTTGTTAATACTTATTAAAATTACTTTTTATTTCCTTTCATATGAAGCTTTTTATTGTGTTGTGAACTCATCAAATACAGCCATTTGGGATCATTTTGACTGTACCATTTATCATTTCACTAGCATAGACAAGAGTTTATATAAACATTACTTTGAATGTCTGTAAGTAACTACTTTAGCATTTTTCATTTATTTGTTTGGTTGGTTGTTATTTTTGTTTTAAGACATAGTGTCAAGCAGCCCAGGCTGGCCTCAGACTCACCACAAAGCTGAGGCTAGCCTTGAACCCTTGGCCCTCCTGCCTCATCTCCTGAGTACTAGATTATAGGTATGTGCCACCACACCTGGGTGTCTGTGTTCCCATGTTGGTATTTCTAGAAACAGTATGATTTATGACACAGATTTCTGACATAGAAGCCAGACTGAACTTTATCTCACCTCACTGAATAAGGAGGGCCTAGCAAAGCAATACAGCAGAACCCTGCCTTTCTCACAGGGTTCCTATATAATGCTCAGGCCAATACAGGTAAAATTCTTCTTTTGACAACTAGTAAGTATTTGTCAATAAAGTAAGCCAACAAAATAATACTCATGCCTATAACCAAAAACTCTTAAGTGGAATAGCTTAATACAGATTAGTCAGTTAGGCAAGTGAAGATTCTATTATACATACTATATTTCTAAGCTGTTTTGCTAAGACTAATCTTTGAAAAGCCTTAATTCATTTTAAGGGGAAAAAAGTCTGAGCTATACATTAGTGTTCATACAAACAAAATGCAACCACTAATTTAAAAATAGGAGGGCAAAACCCAAAAGTGAAAATTCTTTAATAGAATTGTATTTGAGTAAGAATTCCATACAAATAGAACATATGCCTTAACACAAGAAAGCAAGGAAGAATATTTTACATTACATAAACCATTTGGGTAATTCAATCAAGCTAACCCTCTCACCAAATACTTGTTTTTTATATTTATTACAAACATTGGAGTCAGTTCTGTACATGCCAGCAATCACACAGTTCTAACAGTCACAGAAGCACATCTGGCTGGTTGCAGTGAGTGTGTGGCGTAGCATTTGCTTCACAGGACCTGATGTGAATGGGCTTACTGTCTGCTTTTCAGCGTTTCAACTAACCTGCAGAGAGAAAATGCAATAGCTTAACAAAACTGACTTCCAGGTGGAAAGCCATCTACAGCATCAATTTCAGTCTCAGCAGTCTACAGTTATTACTGCTGGGTTGAACATATGCACACTTAAGAGCTAAAAACTCATCTGCATTCTCAAACAGCTGGAGTAGAATCACCTATTGAACAATTATAAACTAATGCAGCAAGCCTTGTCTGTGACAAGAGCACAATTTCATCTGTGCAGGAAGAGAGCGGGATCACAGATATAGTTGAGAATCTTTTTTAGGGAGGAACAGGGTGGCTACAAGGTCTCACTATGTAGCCTTGACTGGTCTTGCATGTGCTTCCCGACTGCTGGTATTAAATGTCTGAGCTACCACTGTGCCTGCCAAGAACCTTCTTGACAAGAAGCAAGCCTTATCCTGATTCCTGAAGGACTCAGAACTGGAAGCGGACATAAACCAGAGCAGTTTGCCTAGTAGTCGTGTTAGTGTGGCTGGAATGAAGACGTTTACTCATGAAGACAACAGGAGAAAAAGCTGGAAGAGTTGCCTATTAGCTGCTATCTAAATGTTATCCCCAAGAAAAATCAACATTGCATCATATGCCAGTGTGGTAATGCACACTGGTCCCTACACTAAGGAGGCTGAAGCAGGATCATATCCTGGGCTACATACCAAGACACTGGGGAAGAACAACACTATCCTATAGGAAGCTTCCCATACACGTGCACAGCTGGCTTCAAACACAGACACTTACCATTCCATGGCTTCATCAAGACCAGTGCCTTTGGTTGCTGATGTTTTAAATATTTGCCACTTTTGGTCCTTCAGGGCAGGTAACCCAAGTGCATTTGCCATTTCTGAGGGTGTCATGGCCTGCTCCATGTCCTGCTTATTTGCAAACACCACTAAAATGGCCTTTCTCAGCTCTTCTTCCTAAATAAAATGGAAAATGCTTCATTTACTTTTAATTTGCACCACTGACTTGAGGAAAAACAAAAAATAGTGTTTAAGAATGTGTGTTTGGGGCTGGAGAGATGGCTCAGCGGTTAAGAGCACTGCCTGCTGTTCCAAAGATCCTGAGTTCGATTCCCAGCAACCACATGGTGGCTCACGACCATCTGTAATGAGATTTGGTGCCCTCTTCTGGCCTACAGGCATACATGCAAGCCGAGCACTGTACACATAATATTAAAAAAAAAAAAAAGAATGTGTGTTTGTGTGTCCGTACTCCTATAAACAACTCTAATGAAATTCACTGGGTCACAATAACAACAAAAAGACACGGGCACAGAAGGGAGGCCAGTTGGGAAGAAGGGGTTAGTGGGAATGGAAGGAGAGAGAACAAGGGAAGACAGAAGGGAGTGCATAGAAACGAAATACAGTACGAACACACAGGAAAATGTCAAAGAAAGCCACTACCGTGCACAGTTAACACATGCTAAATAAGGCAGAAGCATTTATACACAGCAGAGTAAGAAGGAAAGAACAGCAATCTTAGCCAGGCAGTGGCAGCGCACACCTTTAATCCCAGCACTCGGCAGGCAGATCTCTGTGAGTTCCAGACCAACCTGGTATACAGAGCATGTGCCAGGACAGCACCCAAAGCCACAGAGAAACCCTGTCTGGGGGGGTGGGGAGGGACGACAAAAAACAAAAACAAAAACAAAAAACCAGCAATCTTGTACTTGGTAGGCTGGGGCAAATGGCTCAAGTCTGAAGCTAATCAGAATATATGACAGGCAAGTTCAGACCCACAAAGGCTAAAAGACCCTATCTCAAGAAAAAAAAAAAAAGAAGAAGAAGAAGCACTAGTCAATCATCACTGATTTCTGCTCAGTCCTGATTTCCTGTTTTATTTGGTGACATTTAGCACATCTGAACTTGGAGGGTTTTGAGTTACACTTAAACCTATCTTTGCTTTTGTAAATCTTTCCATTGATTCAGAAAGGCTTTCCCAATCTCGTATTTTACACTTACTCACACATTCCTGTGGCTGATTTCCATATTTTACACATTATTTAATTTAGAATGTATTTACATATACAAAGAAGGTAAAAACCTAAAGTGCTTTGTGTTTATGTCTTAATGTCAACAGTACAAGCTGGCACTAGACCTATACTTTACACAACAGTGTCTGTTGATGAACACAAAAGCTCTTTCCTAACAACGTGACTTCCAGTTCTTGCTCTGTGAACTTTTCTTCTCTCCAGTAAGGGAATACACCAAGGTCTTGTGCAAGCTAGGTATGTGCTCTGCTGAGCTGCACCCACAGTGGGTTTTTTTGTTTGTTTTGTTTAATTAGAAATAAGCTTCTTTTATACATGTCAATCCCAGTTCCCTCTCCCTCCCCTCCTTCCTTACCCCCCCACCCCCATCCCAACCCCTTTCTGCTCCACAGGGAGGGCGAGGCCATCCATGGGGGATCTTCAAAGTCCCACAGTGGTTTTGAGTAACACTTTGAACTATGAAGTCCAGGATGGTCTCATGATCCTCTGCCTCTGCCTCCCAAGTACTAGAATACAGCATGTAAGTACAGGCCCGTCTCAGGTTGCAAATGACTCCTAATAATCTCACATGACTCAAGATTAAAAAATGAAGTTAGTAATCCATTTCCCTGAAATACTTCATATAATGTGAACCAGGACTAAAGTTGCTGTTTTAAAAACCCATTATATGTAACAACAATTAATGAAAACAGAGGCCATGAGTTTTATAGAGAGAAGTATAAGGAAGGTCTTAGAGGGAAGAAGGGAAAGGAGAAACCCTTTTCTTTTTTTTGGGGGGGGGGGGAGTCCGAGACAGAGTTTCTCTGTGGCTTTGGAGGATGTCCTGGAACATTTTTCAGTGACCTAATGAGTTTAATTGGACTTACTTACAGAATAATGGGTGCTTAGCAGTAGCTACACTACTGAAGAAAACATACTCCTTTCACTAGCAACCATCAACTGAGGACAAATCCTCAGGGAGGATGGGGCCTCTTGGATGATGTAATTATAACCTCAAAAAAATAATTTTAAAAATGTAAAAAATACATCTCTGGAACCTACATAAAGGAAGATGAGAACCAACTCTATGAAGTTGTGCTCTGATCTCCATGTAGAAGCATGTACATATATGCAAGCACATACACACATACACACTAATATTTTTTTTTTCTTTTTAAGTTGACTCAGATTAAAAGAGCTCTGAACTTTCAAGGAGTAATGAAATCTACCTTACAGGAAGTTTCAGGGTTGGATTTTTATTCCATCCATTTTCCAACTATATTTCTGGAATAGGAAGTAACGTGTACTTTTTAAAAAGAAAAGAAAGGGAGGAAGGGCAACAGACAGACAAAATGGGATAGAGGGATGACTCTGGTTAAGAGCACACACTGCTCATGCAGGGAACCCCCGTTTGATTCCCACACTCACACAGCAGATTACCACCATCTACAATCCCTGGTTTAGGCACATCATCTTCCAGCCTCTTCAGGCACCAGGCACACAGGTGGTGTAGAACCATACATGCAGCCAAACACACACACACAGGAAAATATTTTTAAATAAATCTTTAAGGGGGTAGGGAGAGTTAACAAGTGGTTAAGAGCACTTGTAGCTCCTGCAAAGGACCCAAGTTCTACTTTTAGCACCCACACATTGGCTCACAATCACCTATACCTCCACTCCCAGGAAATCTGATACGCTCTTCTGACCTCCACAGACACCAGGCATGTACATGGTACTCACACATAATGCAAACAAAACATTCATACAAAGAAAGAAATAAAACCTTAAAAAACAAATAGGAAAATGGAGGAAAACTGTTCCTGCATATTTTTTTAAATACCATTGTACTAGATAATATATACAAGAAAAAAGTAAACAAATGTAAATGATTCCTCTAGTTCCTCATTTAAATGTTCAATGTTAACTTTTAAATTTTTGCTTACCTCCAACATTGCAACTAACTCTGACTTGGAAATGCCAATTCGGTCTCGGTCACAACTGTCAACTACATAGATGACTGCGTCTGTGTTTGAATAGTAACATCTCCAGTATGGCCTAAAGAAAATTCAAAAATGGAAAACCCATGATCCCTTGAAAATATCTTAACATGTTAATTTACATGCTGGACTGGGTCAATGACAATGATTACATGCCAGCCCCGCTCCTCTCCTGTTCAGAATAATGCCATAATGTTTGACTGTTTCTGATAGACACACATCTTGCATCACACTCAATGCGACTGGGTTGAAAGAAGAGTGATAAATACTAAATTACAGAACCAAAATTAGTTTCTAAGTAAGTTCGAACTTCAGGATGAGAAGATACAAATATAGTCTACAAAGAACACTAAATATACCAACAGGAAAATTGTACACAGACCCAGTGATTATAACCTACAAGTCTTTAACCAGGAATCCCTTACAAGAAATGGATGGGTTTCTTGTTTGTTTGTTCCCCCTCGAGACAGGGCTCTCTGTGCAGCCTTGGCTGTCCTGTAACTCACTCTGTAGACTAGGCTGGCTCACACTCAGAAATCTTTCTGCCTTTGCCTCTTAAGTGCTGAGATTAAAGGTGTGCTCCACTGCCAGGAATTTTTTTTTTGTCCTTAAGTCACTGATGAAAACTAGAAGTAGAACTGGCTACAATTAGAAATAATCTTGAGTGACTTAAATGAGTTACTGAATGGCAGAATATTTAATGAATGTATTACTAATCTATCAATCTCCCTTCCTGTCAGTTATTTTGTCTTTTTTTTTTTTTTTGGTTTTTCGAGACAGGGTTTCTCTGTGTAGCTTTGGAGCCTATCCTGGCACTCGCTCTGGAGACCAGGCTGGCCTCGAACTCACAGAGATCCGCCTGCCTCTGCCTCCCAAGTGCTGGGATTAAAGGCATGCGTCACGAACGCCAGGCTGTTATTTTGTCTTTTATGAGACAGTCCCACTATGTAGGCCTGACTGTCCTAGAACTAGATATGTAGACTAGACTGGCCTCCAATTCAGAGACCCTCCTGCCTCTGCCTCCAAGTACTGGAATTAAAGGTGTGCACTACCACACTACCAGTATTATTTAACAGTAATCTTACTATAATCTAAGCTGGTGCCCTAAGCCACTGACAGTCACAATCATTGGAAGTTGCTGAGTACTGAATTTCAGGAGGCACCTGCATTTATGTAACCTCTGCATGGTAAAACCTCTGCATAAAAACAGTCGCTCAGAGGGTGTCATGACAAAACAAAAGCAAGAGGCAGTTTCTGAGCCTTTTCAGTTTTCCTGAGAGGGTTTTCATTTAAGTGATTATCTGAAAACCTGAGTTCCTTAGGTTTTAATTACTGGACACTCTAAGGAAATACACAGTTGCAAATTCTACTTCATCTCAAGCAATGTGACCCCTATCTAATTTACAACAGAGATGTATTTTGGTTTAGTGTTGTCAGCACTACAAAGAACCAGTAAATGTTAAACCATCAAATGACCTGATGTTTATACCATACCTGATACTTGTCTGTCCTCCCAAGTCCCAAACTTGGAATTTAAGGTTTTTGTATGTCACGGTCTCTACATTAAATCCAATAGCTGAAAGAGAAATCAAATCAATAATCTATGTATACTAATCCACTTTACCTTTACAAAGTGTCCAACTTCACTGAGTTTTAGCAACTGCTAGTAATTTTCAATCACATTATGGACTGAATTATTCACACACACACACACACACACACACACACACACACACACAAATCAACAAGATCAGCACCACCTTCAGGTTACAAAATTATCTCCTGACCACTCTGTGCATGTTATTAACACAAATGCACACACACACACACACACACACACACACACACACGCACACACACGGACAAGGACCACACTGTATCATTCCTCAGTCGTTGCCCATCTTTTTTTTTTTTTTTAAACGGTGTCTCTGCCTCTCCACTGTTGGAATCATAACTCTGCACCACCACAGGCAGTTTATTTTTATATAAGCTCTAGGGTCTGAACTCATCCATAACTAACACTTTACCTACTGAGCAATCTCCACAGTTTCCTATAAGTCTTTTAAACTCCCCTAAGTACTAGCATACAAGTGTTCAGAAAGGTTTTTGTTCATTAATTTGGTTCTTTGAGATAAGGTTTCTCTGTGCAACAGCTCTGGCTGTCCTCAAACTCAATCTGTAGACCAGGCTGGCCTTGAACTCACAAGAGCTCTACCTACTTCTGCCTGAGTGCTGGGATTAAAAATGTAGGCCACCACCACCTAGCATGTTCAGAAAGTTTCATTCAAAAAGCATAATTATAGATATAGAAGCTGAAGTTCTGGCAGGCAGTAAAAACTAAAGTTATCATGAAACACTGGGCCCTAAAAGCCAACAAGGACACAGCAAGGACTATGGGAGCCAAGTTCTCTGCAGATGCCTCAAGAGCTCACTAATAACAATGTCACAGCTGGATGGTAAATATCTCACCCCTTTTGTCTACCACCCTTCCTAGGTCTAGCTCTGGCATCCCACAGCTGAGACCAGATACTACTTCAAAAAAAGAGTCTAAATGAGGGAGAAAATAACACTGAAAACACTTAGGCTAGACATGTACAAAGTTTGTTCACATTTCCTAAGCTTAAAAAAAAAAATCAGAGTGAAAAATGACTTGGTTACCACTGATTTTTGTTTCCTATTTAACACTGTGTTGTATTGATAAATGATGTATTTGGCAAACAAGTATGTAATTACATACTGAAAAATTAAACCACAGCAAATGTGACAAACTAAAAAGCAAGTCCCTGTCTCCCTCAAAACCAGACAAATGCAGCTATGTTTATCACCATCAAGAGCACTGTTTATGTGCAAAGGACAGGGGTAAAAGCAACCCACACCCACACTGCAGTCCACCTACAGTGCAGCACTGTGTATTACAGAGGTCACCAAAAGCTACCGGATGGAGGGGAAGGGAAGGAAAAGAGAGGAGCGAGTCTGAGAAGTGAGAATCAAAGGAAATGGAATGGGCAGAAAACTGCAAAAAGGAATAACAGATGCTACAGAATCCAAACGTTCTTCCATAAAAACAAAACAAACAAAAAATCCTGGAAGGTTTAGTGACAAAATGGGACTATCCTGACACAGTAATTCAAAATACAGTTTAAAATCTTGAGCAAATTATATGGATTCTTCAATTACTATTCTCTCTATAAATTTAGTTCCACAAATGAAAAAGTATAAACATCAAGATCATCTGCATATAGTAAAACAGAACGATTTGCAAATAATTTTCTAAGACAGCAAGAATAATAAAGCTATGAATTGAGTTAAAGTTCCCATGTTTCTTCTCAGTGTTGAGGTAACCCAGTCATTTCAACATCAGCCTCTGTAATTCCCATCTTTAAAAGGGAGCTACAGAATTACTTAGAAGGAACTAACTAAACTGTGATTCAATTAATAAAAACTGCATAAAAATGTACTTTGTATACAACAATACAATTTAACACCTATATACTTCATTATACACTTCATTTATTTACTCCTCGAAGCCAGCAGATATTTAGTTTCCTCATTAAGCATAAAGATCTGGTGACGTAAGTTCTAAACAGACATCTGTTTGGGTGCCTGGATAAGAAACTTTAAAGTGCATCAAATGCTTCTTAGTTTATTTTTTAAAATGTCGATATCATTTTCATACTCAGTTTATTCAGAAAGTTGTACAGTAGACAGAAACCAGAAAAGTTCTATAGTGAGTTATCAAACCAATACTTACTGGGAATAGTAGTAACAACCTCTCCAACCTGTAATCTGTACAAAATTGTTGTTTTCCCAGCACCATCTAATCCCAAAATTAAGATCCTCATTTCCCTGGTTCCAAAGAGACTGGAAAAAATACTTGAGAAAAAGCCACCTACAAGATAATAAAAGCAAAAAATGTATTTAATGTCATCTTTTAAATTAGGTCCATAAAACATTTAACTTTGTCTTTTGAAAGCTATATGCCTAATCAAATTGCAAAATTCCTGGATGCACAGGTAGATACTTTTGCTTCCAATGAGAGATATATTACTCAACAGCAGACAAGTAACAAACAATGTCCCTAGGTCCTACTACTGTCAGACAGCAGAAGATACACTAAATATCAGACATTCAGAGGCTGCCCTCAAGAGTCAGTTCACTTTCCCATCAATATCGTGTCAAAGCAAGGGCACAATAATTTAGCAGTCTCCTCCTTCCCCCTTAATACCAAAGCACCAGTCAGAGAAGCAGCGGCACAATGGAGTCCTTTGATAAAAGATCAGTTACCATATAGAGGCAGTACCATAACCTTCGGTGTGTTCTCCACTAACCCACATAATTACAACAAACTTTGATGGCCACACAAGACAAAATAACTGTTTCATTGCTGATTTGTTTTTCCAACAACAGCTATTATAGGAAAGTCATTTTATTATTATTTGGGGGCAGTATTTTTTTTGTTGTTGTTTATTAGTTCAAATTAGGAACAAGCTTGTTTCACATGTCTCCCTCCCCCCTCAACCTCCCACCTGCCCCCTACCCTAACCACCCTCTACTCCCCAGGGAGGGAAAGGCCCTCCATGGGGACTCCCCAAAGTCCACCACATCATCCTGGGCCGGTTCTGGGCCCTCCCCCATGTGTCCGGCCGAGAGAGCATCCCTTCACGCGGGATGGGCTCTCAAAGTCCCTTCTTACACCAGGGAAAAATACTGATCCACTAGCAGGGGGCCATAGAGTACTGAGGCCTCCTCATTAACATCCACGTTCAGGGGTCTGGATCATTCCCATGCTGGCCTCCCAGACAGCAGTCTGGGGTCCATGTGCTTCCCCCTTGTTCAGACCAGCTATTTCTGTGGGTTTCACCAGCCTGGTTCCGACCCCTTTGATCTTTATTCCTCCCTCTCTGCAACTGGGTTCCAGAGTTCAATTCAGTGTATAGCTGTAGGTGTCTGCCTCTGCTTCCATCAGCCACTGGATAAGGGCTCCTTGTGCTCCCAATTAGCTCAGGAGATCTGGGGGCAGTATTTTTTGAGACAGGGTCTCACTTTGTAGCCCAGGCTGGCCTGGAAATCAGTATGTAGAACAAGTTGGCCTCAAACTCATAGAGATGTGCCTGCCTCTGCTTCCTGAATCGTTAGAAACTCATTTTAGACAGTAAAACTACATCCAATACTTTATGAAGTATTTCCAGGAAACACTATGTATCCAAGGCACCCTTCAACATCAAAGTATTTGTGGCACAAACTCTTTGCCTTCAAAAGTAATTAAAGAAAAAAAGATTCACAATATAAAGTGAGAAAAGGGGAAAGTGAGGAATATAAAGAATATGCTCACCCGGGCACACACCTTTAATCCCAGCACTCGGGAGGCAGAGGCAGGTGGATCTCTGAGTTGGAGACCAGCCTGGCCTATAAACGCTAGTTCCAGGATAGCCTCCAAAGCTACAGAGAAACCCTGTCTCGAAAACAAAATAAAATGCTCAATAAGCAATGTATACAGGTTATATATAACGTATACACACATACAGAGCTTCACAAATAAAAGGCAAGTCCTCTTAGCTAGTGGTCCAAGCCTGTAATACCAGCTACTTGAGGAGACTAAAGCAAGAGCACTGTGAGTCTGGAATATAGGGTGAGTTGAGTTCAAGGCTAGACAACTTAGTGAGATCCTGTCCCAAAGTTTTAAAAGGACTGGGACTGTAGCTCAGCAGTAGGGCGTTGGCTAGCATGCTCAAGGCTGACTTCAATCCATAGCCTGCGTGCCACAAGCATACACACTCACACACGGAAAGGAGACGGGAAGAAGACAGGAAGAAGGGATGTCACACTGTACACGGAACCTTGGCAAAGAATGGGTGTGACTTGACAAAGTCCTTTTGACCCTTTACACGTAGAAAGGAGATGGAAAAAAACAACACTTCAGGTTACACAGAACCGAACAGACTTAGGATGCGAGGGATCACTTCTGAGAAAACTGCGGAAGGACTGAAAGCAAGCAGCTCCCTAGAGGCTCCAGCTGCACTGGGGGCGTCACCGCAGGGTGCGCTGGGACAACTATTGTAGTTCCCTCACTCGGGGAACTGCAAATCTGCCAATCGCGATCAAAATCTGTCGCGCTGGCTCGCCGTAACCCCCTACT